TGTAAGGCCTCCCTGCTAGCCATGCACCAGCACTTGGCGTCGTGGCACCGCCAGCAGACCGAGAGAGTCAAGAGCAGCGCTCCTGCAGGATACGAGCGACGTGTGGCTCTCAGCAGCGTCCTGATGCACGAGGTTGCGGTCCTGCGACGGCTACACGAGGCCAAAGTCAGGAGGCTCGAACTGCGGCGGGCACATGACGTCCAGGAGTTCCTCAGGAGAGTGAGTGTGTATGACGGGGTTTATCATGTCATAACATGGTTTATCATGTTATAATATGGTTTATGTCATGTTATAATATGGTTTATGTCATGTTATAATATGGTTTATGTCATGTTATAATATGGTTTATGTCATGTCATTACATGTTTATGTCATGTCATAACATGGTTTATGTCATGTCATAGCATGGTTTATGTCATGGCATAACACGGTTTATGTCATATCATAACATGGTTTATGTCATGTCATAACATGGTTTTTGTCATGTCATAACATGTTTTATGTCATGTTATAACATGGTTTATGTCATGTCATAACATGGTTTATGTCATGTCATAACATGGTTTATGTCATGTCATAACATGTTTTATGTCATGTTATAACATGGTTTATGTCATGTCATAACATGGTTTATGTCATGTCGCAACATGGTTTATCTCATGTCATAACATGGTTTATGTCATGTCATAACATGGTTTATGTCATGTCATGGCATGATTTGCGTCATGTCATAACATGATTTTTGTCATGTCATNGGGAACACGCGCTCCTCCTGCACCTCCTGCACGTGGTAGGGAACACGCGCTCCTCCTGCACCTCCTGCACGTGGTAGGGAACACGCGCTCCTCCTGCACCTCCTGCACGTGGTAGGGAACACGCGCTCCTCCTGCACCTCCTGCACGTGGTAGGGAACACGCGCTCCTCCTGCACCTCCTGCACGTGGTAGGGAACACGCGCTCCTCCTGCACCTCCTGCACGTGGTAGGGAACACGCGCTCCTCCTGCACCTCCTGCACGTGGTAGGGAACACGCGCTCCTCCTGCACCTCCTGCACGTGGTAGGGAACACGCGCTCCTCCTGCACCTCCTGCACGTGGTAGGGAACACGCGCTCCTCCTGCACCTCCTGCACGTGGTAGGGAACACGCGCTCCTCCTGCACCTCCTGCACGTGGTAGGGAACACGCGCTCCTCCTGCACCTCCTGCACGTGGTAGGGAACACGCGCTCCTCCTGCACCTCCTGCACGTGGTAGGGAACACGCGCACCTCCTGCACCTCCTGCACGTGGTAGGGAACACGCGCTCCTCCTGCACCTCCTGCACGTGGTAGGGAACACGCGCTCCTCCTGCACCTCCTGCACGTGGTAGGGAACACGCGCTCCTCCTGCACCTCCTGCACGTGGTAGGGAACACGCGCTCCTCCTGCACCTCCTGCACGTGGTAGGGAACACGCGCTCCTCCTGCACCTCCTGCACGTGGTAGGGAACACGCGCTCCTCCTGCACCTCCTGCACCTGTTATTAAACATGTACATCTCCTGCATGTTTTGCACGTGCCAGGGAAGACATGCGATGAATTGCAGTAGTTTCTGATTTCTGAGAATTTCATCAAGTTTATGTAGCAGCTTCCTGGGTAATTGGACCATTCGGGCCAAGTCTAATTTATTAACTTTGACTTGTTATATCGACTTTTTATTCACGTTTTCTATTTTTATACAACATCTAAACTGACTATTAAGTCACGGACTGGACATGGATTGGATTCAATAAAAAAATTATTTTCCCAACATTTGTGCAGCTGAGTTAACTGACTTGAATCAAATTTGTATTTAATGCATCGATTAAAATTTACACCATATCTGATACATTCATCTTCTTATCAAAGGCATTTTATTTGGAATCTCCAGGTGGTGGAGAAAGACCTTGCAGTGACACCGCGGGTCGTTCGCTCCGCTGGGGCGATGCCGCTGCTATACAAGAGCTGATAGAACGAAATCTTGAGTCCGCTTGTGTCGTCAGCAGACTTATCCTCTCTCCATTCTCCAGTTGTTCGATCCCGTTCCCAGCTGTCTGATTTCGTCGTCTGATGTCAGACTGTCTCCATGGGTCAGATTCTGTCTCCAGGGGTCAGACTCTGTCTCCAGGGGTCAGATTCTGTCTCCAGGGTCATTCAAAAAGATAGTTTATAAAAAATATAGTCTATTCTTAAATAAAAAGTTCCAATATTCGTACCGATATTATATCATCCTTTGAAATCGCTAAACGGTAATGCATAAATTGTCAGGAGTTGCTAAAATCACATAAACTAAACACGTCATGTAAAAATAACTTACATCATTTGCATTTCGATTTTTGTACGCCTATGACCGAACACTCCATATGCATTCATTTTCTCTATAAAGATCAATTAGGCCCTCTACTAGAGAATGACTCCAAACGAGAGTGATGTTAGTCGACATTTGGTGTGCCGGATCAGCGTACACAATCAACCTTACTAGATCACAGCTAGACAGCTATCTACTAACTAAGAATTTAAAAGCAAAGAATAGTCCACAAAAATTCATATCTTTATAGAAAACGTTTCGGAGACCAGCTCCATCGTCAGTTCGTAGAATCTGGAATCACAAATTAATACATTAAAACCATAGAACGAATTGAATTTCTTTAATTAATTAATTAAGATTTTTAATTTGATTTACATTTTAATTTAATTTAAATTCTTAGTTAATTTGCGATTTAAGCATACAAGTGGTATTAATTCTTTAATAGCTATCTACTAAGTGCCGCGCTTGTGTTGCATGAGGCATGGCCCCTGTCAATCGCTAGCTCGTCAATCGGTCAAGAAGCGCATGCAGAGGCTGCAAAGCGCCTCTGCATGCGCTTTGAGGCACTTGACTCTCGTGTGTTGCCCCTAGTGTAAACGGGCCTTTACACTGTGTTTCACTGCCAGCGGTGCGCTGTCTGGTTACCTGTACAGACGTGTAGATGGTATAAAGAGGTCCGCTGTTGATGACGAGCGCAATCGTCTTCTAGAAGGCAGATCTGACACGCGCTGCAGACCTTCTGCGAGATAAGGAGGCGCCAGACCGTGAAGGCATCAGAACGTCAGAACAGCGACCTTGCTAAATGCGCAGACAGTGAAGATCGCACAATAGAGGCGTCATACGGTAGAATTTTCGCTTATTGCACACGAGTCGAGCCTCAGCGTTTATTACGGATTGCTGTTTATTAAGTGCAGTGGTCGAAAATCCATAAAGTGCGACATTACCACAGTCCAATCTGGTCAGAACGATCGCCACCACAAGGGCCTCAAGGACATGCCTCGGAAGACAGGCCGGTCTTCCGTAGCATGATTAGCATCCGAGGCCGGTGCTGATGTTACGTATTCGTCGTAGAGCGCCGAAGCAAGCGGTGGTGACGTTGGCAATGTTCCGAGTCCAGCAGAATGTCAGGTTGCGAACTGCGGACGCAGGCATGACGAACTCGTTGCGCACGCGAACAGGGTTGGCCGGAAGCTGATGCCGGCGCCGAGCAGTCGCAAACCAAATATAGTCGGTTTTTAACGTATTGAGCTGGAGCCGGTTGGAGCGCATCCGGTCTGAAGACAGCGTCCATGCAGGCAGACATTCGATCCTGTAACGCTGTGGCGTCAGCCGGTGCATTAAGCCATAGTGAAACTGGCCAAACCTCTTTAGGCCTAACCTACACAAGTTGCAACATTTCTCCACCCAAAACAAACCTGAGCGGACCTAACCTCGTCATTGGCTGCAGGAAGTTAGACAGGCGCTCCAAGTGTTCTGGCAGAGCCAGTTATTGGCTGCAAGAAGGTTGTGAGCCGGGACAGCGTGAATAGGTTAGGCCGAAAGAGGTAAAGCCGGAACAGGTAGTGCGATGGGGAACTGCTTGCTTATGAGCGAGCATGCTTTAAGCATTGCCTGAAGAGCCACGGCGCATATCTCGGCAGAGTGTCGCCTGTCTGCATTACGGAGATCAAGCGTAGTCTGCGGCTTCTAGCTCTGAGGCTGAGTAAAGTTAATGCATAGTGAAGCTGAGCATTGGCTCCATGGCTTATTTATGAGTAAAATTTGTGACCTACGGCTGCGCCCTCGCAATAAGTGATTGCCATAATATTGGAGCCACGACTCAGTCTAAACTGCGTAACTGTTCGAGTATTAAACTAAACAGAAATCGTTGGCGTTAAGCCTGCAATGAGTATGATTAAATGATCTAATCTAAACTCTGTCAACTTAAATTGATTTCAAAGTAATTTAACGTAAATTTAATAATATATATTGTGCTGTGAAACCTACGAGTCTTATCATAATTCGGTACTCGTCGTAGAACTAAATTTATTCAGTATCATAACTCATCTCTCTGACAATGAAAAATATTCAATGTAATAACATTAACCAATATTCAATTATCAATTTTTTATGGAATAAACTCATTGCGTATAATTTTTTTTCTTTATGACCAATTTGTCTAGCACCACATCGAACCCGGTGGAAGTCTAGGAGTTATTTCAAACTATCATCAGTTCTGAAAAGATCCGGTCAAATGACACGATTTTAGATCTTCTGTGAACAAGTCACGAAAAGGACAAGAATCAGCGACTGGCCACATCAGCAGTGGCCTACTCTTCAGCGCCGACATCACTACGTATGTTATGTTATGTTAATATTATTCTATTATCAGCTTTGCCCTCAACATTTAAACTATCGAGTATTAAACATCGTATTACGGGTATTAGGAATAAAAATTAATTATATTCAAGACTTATTAAGATTTAATGCACCAATTTTAAATCACGAAATATTTAAATATGTAAATCATGTCCACGGCTCTTTTAGTTTTAACATTCACCTGATAAACGCTAATTTAGCTGCATCGTACTACGTAGTCGCGAAATTAAGTTCCGTCCAAATTTCATTCACTATGCACGTGATGTTTACAAGTTTGGCAGCTCGCGCACAGTTAAATGAGATCCATGTTTGGTGCCTGGTTATAACTTGAACCGATGATTGAGATCAGGCCACTATTTCCATTAGGTCACTTTAAACCTTCGATATCCATACCAAGAAATATTTTTGTGTTGATTATTTGACAATTATGCTTTCAATTCTCACTACTAATATTCATAAATGCGTTTTAAATCTTCACCGTGTACAATCAGATGAGGATTGAGGAAGTCACAACTCACAATCACAATGATCAGCGAATGATGTGTTGAATGTTGATAAAATGAAAACGAAAGATGGACCTATGGAATAGGTTGTTTCATACACGTAAGAACTTTGAAGAGTCTCATGCTTCTCAGATTCACAAGAGTGATGGCTCTGATGGGTAAGTATTTTGTTGCTTCTTTGCAGTTTGCTCAGTTGAGTTGAGTCAGTTCTGTTAATGTTGGTGCAATTTTGTCTCTTGATTTGCCTCTTTGCCACCCACTAGAACTTAATAGAAAGTATACATTTTATTGACAGAATTGCACCAAACTTTTAGAAAAAGAGATAGATCTTTGCAGCATTAATATTCTATAGGGGTAATTGAAATCTATACCTAAGTTGAAATTGTACTAGCTCTAACCACTGGCACTTTTATTCATTTTATATAGTTTTTGAATTTTGATGACATAAACTGAAGGCAAAGCAAGTTTTTTTGCAGTATCTCCTGCTGCCTGCTGAATCCTGCATATCCTACTAGACTAACTAGAGTACTAGTTGATAGCAACATAGCTAGGCACCTAGGCTGCATAATGCATAGCAAAGCAAAGATTTTCTAGAATCACTGAATCAGTTCATTTTAAATTTCTCTCCTCTTCCACTCAATATTTTAACCTATTTCTTAGTTCATAGATATGAGAATGCGTTTTTCTAATGCGTTTGATAGATATGCGTTTTTCTAATTTCGTTATAGTTTGTATTTTATTTTGCAAAAAGGGTGGGGTAGAATGGGGTAAAATCGAAAAATTTCCAAGAAATTTACAAAAAATGCTCCCACACCCTGGACAAAATTGGAAATTTAAAAAAACGCCTACATCAATTTGTAGATATGGTCTTTACGCATCGAATGATATGTGTCTCGATGTTGTAGGGCTTGTAGCTTGAAAATCCTAGGCCCGCGGATATTTCTACAGTACCCCCTTTTTTGTCTGTTTTCTAAGAATTTCTCATTTTCTTTCAAATTTGCGAAAAATTCACAGGAACAAAAAAGTCTTAGAATTCCGTTTTGCATACGTGTATTAAATTTCGAAGTGATCCGTCCGTAAATAAAAAAGTTTTTTTATGGACCAAGACGCTCCCCTTAAATGACTTAAAATTAACTTGTGGAAGGAAAACAAAAAACGTTCTCCTTTGCTACTACTCTGCAGAGGCTGCAGACTGAGGTTGCAGGATTGGAATTTCTCTACTAGTTACTGACAAGCATGGAAAACATCTCCCTTTAGGGCCGTGACTAGAGCTTTCCCGCCATTTCCAGAACCGCAAGATTCATGCCAGATGAATTACCTCCTATCTAATTGTTAGCAAAAGTGCATGATCGGGCCACAGGTTTTTCAAATGTACTAATTAAAATTTGTCATGCTAGAGCCACAAGGTTGTCACGCCAGAGCCACGAGTTTTAAAAATTTGTCACACCAGAGCCGCAAGATTTCAGAAAAAAGTAGGAAAATTCCTATCCTGGTTACTACTGATACGTACTGATGTATCTCCTGGGTCCTGGCTCCAAAGCAGCAAATTTTCAATAGATTTGATTACTCTAAAAATATCAAATTATTTGAAATCTCCTGTGTTGCAGCCTGATTTTGTGCCATGTCAACAATTAGATAGGTGGTATATGTCATCTTGCTGGAATCTTGCAATTCTGAAAATGTCGGGAAAGCTCTAGTCACGGCTTGAAACATAGTAGACATTTTCCACACCAGCTAATCTGGCAGTTGGTGCTCATTTCAAGATGGATCTGACATGGCTAATCTGCAATATCAAAATATTGAGAAAAATTATCCATAAATTGTAGTTAAAAATTATTATTTCATGGATAATTTTTGAAATTTGCTTTTAAAATGTGCTTGTATTCTTATTTTTGGATTTGGGAAAAGGCCAGAAAGCAGGGGAAATCAACCACAATCCAGGCATTTTCATCTCTTTCACAGGTAGTGTCTGTCTTTCACAGGTAGCATCTGCCCAGTGCCCAGCTACCGTACCCATAATGGCAGCCTGTCAACTAGGCATGGAATCTATCTACATTTCATGCTGTAACTAGAGCTTTCCCATCATTTTTGAAATGGCTACCTGAGCTTCCTCACCATTTTTGAAACCACAAGATTCCCAATAGGTGAATTAACTCCAATCTATTGTAAAGAAAGGTGCACAAATGGGCCACAAGATTCCAAATGTAACGAAAACTTGTCACATTGAAGCTGCAACATTTCACTAACAATAAGGGAAATTCCTTCCTTCCTTCCTGACAACTTGATCAATTCCAAAATATCAATTGAGTGAAAAGGCGAACTATTGGTTCAAATTTTCTGATCCAGTATAATAAGTTCATTTGTTTAATTGTCTCTCCTGAATTTTACTCTGATTTTAGGAATGCTAGTCCAGTCCACATTTGGAAGACAGGTGTAGGCTGCGGAATATTTCTTCTGTTCAACCAAACTGTAAAATTGGGCTAAAGCACCTAACAAATGAGACAAAAACAAAAGTCTTCATATCTCCTCGATAATTTTACAACCTTTCTGTAATTTTTTCATGAAAAATAAAGAAAAAGGGAAAATTTTTTGCTCATCATATTTGAAAATTACCCATGAACAGATTGTTATTTTTGCATTTTTCAGAATTCTTGCAAAATTTCCAAATTGGCTTGTTTTAGCCATGACCAGAGTTTTCCTTTTTTTAGAGCTGGGAGACTTTTACTATATGAATTATATCTAATCTATGTGTTAACATAAGTGTCAAAATTGAGATATTAGATTTTTGAGGTTTGAGAAATCTTGCTCATTAATAAAATATCCTGTATAGGTACTTAAAATTGCAAATTTTAGGAAATTTAAGAATTTTAGGGCTGAATCACGCAGTTTCATCAACAATTGGATTGTAGAGTTATAATTAGAAAAAGATTTGTTTGCAAGCATTGTGCACCACCGGGTTGCACGCGTCGCCGTGCACCACCTGGTTGCAGGCGTCGCCGTGCACCACCAGGTTGCACGCGTCGCCGTGCACCACCTGGTTGCACGCGTCGCTGTGCACCACCTGGTTGCACGCGTCGCCGTGCACCACCAGGTTGCACGCGTCGCCGTGCACCACCTGGTTGCACGCGTCGCTGTGCACCACCTGGTCGCACGTGCAGCGCTCGTGCCTCGCACGTCACGGCCTCCGCGTTGTGTTTGCTGTTGCCAGACTCATTGCCGCGACTCGAGCTGGTCGCCTAGTGTGTCCTGGCGGTAATAACTGACCCACATCGAAGGTTGACAATATAAACAGTGAAGTAGTTTAACACAATTAATTATCATCCACAGTCGAAGGATATATGTTGGTTCTGTCTATCACATTACTAATTTGCAGCCTGCGCGTGTTTCATCTGCGTAGCACAGTTCAACCTTAATTCAGTCTGTTACGTGACAGTTGTGTAGGTCAACTGACCTAATTGTTAAAAGAAAAAACTGGTGTCATAAGCAGAACATGTGAACATTTTAGACGACTTTTAATAAAACTTCTATTGCAATACCACTTTCTTACAATAACCTACCATATAGCGTTGTCGGATTATGTTGAAGTACATCTCAATCAAATCCAGGTAATAATCTTGCAACATATAGCAATTTTTTCAGGTACCCTCGTTTACATCTGGAGAATGTAGCATTGATACCTTGACTTTGTCATGGATGATATTAAATGTAGGTATTGAGATAGATGCCTAAATTTTTGCATTCCTACAGTATTAAGGTGTTACTCGGTATCGAAAACAATCGTAAGTACCAGAAATGTGTTTCATCTAACACTGAAAAATTTTCCTGCTTGTTCATTCATGAACGAGTGAACTTAAGCTCGACAGGAATGTTCAGAGTTTTGGTGACGTCATACGTGACGTAGAACCTTGGCAGGCTAGCCAGGTCCGCGCGCGCGTGACTGCGACCACATGACCGGCCGCGCGGGTGACGAATTTACGCTAAACTTTGCTCAGTTCTGCGCGCCTCTCGCTACCTCATTGCGCCGTGGCTGTGGTTCCACGTATGTGGCTCCCAGTGCTTGCTTACATACGTTCTGTTGACGCCACCGTGATGTTACTTAAATATGCGCGAGTTCATTATTCGAGAGCCGGCGTTTCAATAAGTTAGTAAAGAGCTCTAATTATCTTCGTGTAAATTACATATAGGTCATGCGAGAAATCTCGTATTTTTGTGTGTGAAGAATAAAGAGGGAAACACTGCAAAACCTCGTTGTGCCTGGATCAATAAAGGTCGTTTACAATAGAATGATAGTATCATTGTTTCCGGCAGAAGTTACGTGCAATGACCTTTGTTTGCCCTCGTATTCTGTTATCGAATGAAGAAACGAGTCACATTTCGTCGTACGATTTCTCTCGACAATGTGTTTCTGAAGCGAGTGTCCGTTACTCACGATCTCCGTGTCGAATAGAGGCGAACTATAATAGCTTTTCCAAGTCTCCTGTCGGGCTGAACTACTTCATAGATATTCTTAATCGTTCCCCTAACAATTTATGTAACTTCTTAGATACTATCAGCCGGTCAAAAAGTTGTCACTCTTTATTAGATTTGTGCGAAAGCAAGCAAGTTCTTGTCCGTGATGAATCAATTTGTTCTTGCAGTCAGGAAGTACCGCTGTCACCGCTCAGGAACGATGTCCAAATACAAGAACAAAGAGCTGCTTCGGATCGAAGATCACGCTGTTCTTCCCGAGGCTTCGAGATCAGCACGAGCGGCATACGCGTTTTGCTTTTCCGCGAGTGCGAGAGACGTGGTCGCATGTGTATTTATGACTCTAGTACCATCTTGAGAGTACCGGTATCTACCCTAAATGTGAGTGACGAATCTATGCCTCTCACAACAGCACCTGTGAGAGGTATTGCTCTTCTTACCACACCTTCTGCAGGTGTTTTACACTCTACCCAACCTCGACCAGAAACGGCATCAACTGGTTCTAATACCAGACTATCATCAGCTAGCGGTAATCCCTCCACTTTGCCCGCTTTTCGTCTTAGAACTTTGGGACCATCACGTTCTTCAGGATGCGTTCTCAGTAACCCTCTTCCCGTGTCTGATAATGTAAGAGCAAGTTCCAATGAGACCAAAGATTCTTTTAAATCATATCGTGAGGCTAGCAGATCCAGTGACCCCATTTCCTCGTACAATTCCCCTTCAACTGCTCGCCCCACTCAACCCCGCAAGACAGAAGTTATTATGGAGATAACGGAAGACCACGTGTACCAGGTGCGTCTTACTCGTCGTCTTTAGTTATGACTATTTCAAATCTCTCGGTTTATTGAATTTCATGCCTTGAACGTACTTTCCATTTAAACTTTACTTATTGAACTTGATTAAATTATTGTTAGAATGAATGTGGTTTGGGTTGGAATTTCAATGCTGCTTGGGTTGGAATGAATTTGAATTAATCCTTGTTGCGCGGTGCTAGAATATTTGTGTTGCTTTTTGCCAGAATCAGACTTGTTCATGAATAGTACATGATCATGTTTATATAATTCTGTTTTTGGAAGAAACGACAGAACTCTTTCTTGTCTTCTATCATTCAAAGATTAACTATAACCAAGCTTTCATCAGCGAGATATTAATATATAAAAATATTACGACTACATATTCCTTCAAAATATATTAATTTGTATTGTGACATGTATGTATAGTAGTTAATCATAAATACTTTACGTAATAAATCAAAATAACAAACACATTGCGTATTTATTTATAATAAAACTAAATGATGAGTTCCGTAGAATTTTTATTCAACCAGTATTGTTTGACCTTTTAGTTTTCTCTAGCAAACCTTTCCTTCGTACTTAACTCATAAAACATATGACGTAAAAATGTCAATGTATAAATTAGAAGTTGTCCTGTTCTATTTATCTACAATTGTATCTCTCATCGTAAAACTGTCATGTGAAAAGTTTTGTCACTAGTCGTAAAACTGTCATAAAATTGGCAGTTATTTTAGCTCCATTTGTCTTCAATTACCTAACGGTTCATGTCTTGTCAGACTGCATTATTTTACAGCGTCATTATCGTACTGACTATAGCCACTGTTGTATCTTTACAGTTAAATAAGGGTTATATAAATGTCGCTCCATGGTGCACAGTTCTGCCGCCAAGCAAGTGACAGCAAACAGCTGGGGGAGCTTGTGTTCGGCAGCGTCGAGCTGGCGTACCGTGGTCCCTGTTCCAAGCTGCACACGCTGCCTGGACGCGTGCTGCTGTCCCGTGTACAGCCGCGCCCTCCACCTCCAGCTGCTAGAGGCGGCTACCGGGGTTCAGGCATCCCGCCTCATCCAGCCGCCCCGCACCGGCATCCAACGCTCGCAAGGTAATTGCTGGCAACAACCTAGATTGCTTGGTAATAGATTGATTGATAGATTAGATTTATTCATAAATTAGATTAGATTGACTCATTGATATAGATTATGGATTAGGTAGATAATAGATTGTTACCGGTCCGCATTATTTCAGGGCAAGCTCCTTGATTCCGATTTTCTGTTCGCACTAATTTGAACTCTTCACAACTAATTTTGTCTTACAGATAATAATTTTCTATTTCGGCAACATTCTAAACTTAACTCGAATCCCATTAGTTTTTCGTGTTGCCCAAATTACCTCGAATGTAAAAACACTCGGTAATATAGATAAGATTTTGGAGAACGTTAATTAATGCACCGTATTCTGTGATCGGCCGAGTGCGCTAGATAGCGGTAGAGGTCAAAATGCCACACACACAACAGTTGAATGCGACCCGAAAAGTTGACACAGATCGAGAAAAAATGTTGCCTAAATTGGTAAACATGCAAAAATCATCTGAACCAAGACTATGAATGTTTGTGAATTTTGTTGCATCTTATTTGACAGATGTAGTTTCAAGTGTTTATCTAACTTGATGAAAAGTTGTTTCCGAGTAAGAATAAATAAGAGTTAAATAAGTTGTTTGAGAGTAAGTCTAAAATAAGAATGTTTAGTCGGATAAATGTTTACGGTGCTGACACCTTCAGCGACGCTGGCATCAGCTCCATGGGCAGCTCACTGGAGGTGCTGGGAAGGCTGCCTTCAGGTGCCACAGACCCGTCCTCTGACAGCGTCAACTTCTACCTCGGCGGCAGCAGCAGCTCCGACCGTCGCCGTCTGTCTTCCCTTGACAAGCGCCGGCATCGCTCTGATGTGCCTGAGTTTAGACGCACAAGTACCACTGTCAGTGACGTGAAATCTTCATTCGGTGGCTCTAGTGTATTTTGTTCAACTGCTGGCTTCCCGGAACCGGGCTGTGAGCTGCGTCGAACCAGCACTTCTCCCAGCGAGGATGACTCTGGTTTCGGAGGACCTGCTTCTTGGCTGTCTGCTACAGGGGGATCCTTCGCCGGACTTCTGTCGCTGCCTGTCACGCCCGTCGGATCTGTCTCGTCCAAAGGTAAAAATCGCATCGTTTCGCCTACAGTGAGCATGACTCATTTGTATCCTATCTTATATTTGTATGATACTACCTGATCTTTATGTTAACGTTTCATGCTGCTTACATATTACGTACCTAGTTAAGAAAACTGACCTTTTCCATCTGTATCATGGCTGGTCTCTTTTTTTTGTGCTCACCAATTAATTGTTCATGTTACTATTGTATGAAATATATCGTAAATCCTGCACTCCATGTATTCAGGGTCGCTCAACAGCAGCAGCGGCAGCCTGAGCAACCTTCAGAAGCGCTACCTGCGACGCACGACCGACACGTCATTAGACTGCCTGGCCAGCCCCAGCTGCTCCTCATTTAGTCCTCCTGGCGGCGATGCAGGTGCTGTATTTTGGTGTAATTCCTTGCCTCCAACGGTGTAGCAGGTGCAATTTTTTGGTGTAATTCCTTGCCTACAACGGTGTAGCAGGTGCAATCTTTTGGTGGACTTTATTGCATCTGACGATGTGGCTGGTGCACTTTTTTACTCATTTTCTTGCACAATGCAGGCGAAATCTTTTTCTTTCATTTCTTGCTCGTGATTGCGCGGCAGGGGAAATTTTCTCCTCCTGACGGCAGTACAGGTTCGCTCTCATGGAGCGATCTTCTTAAAACCGCTTCTAAATATACCATCTCGCTCATCATTGATATCGATTACGCAGAATTTTCCACAAATTATATACAGGAAATTTTCTACTGTTAGTTGAATATTCACAAATATTGGCCCGAACCCTTCTAACGGTATCGTTTCGATCGTACCTGAATTTCAATTGGATTTTGAATGACCTGTTTTGGAAATACATGAACGATAGGTCTTGGATTGAATTTAACTTCCTCAAGTTCCTCTTGGAACATCTTCTTATAGGCGTGCATATTTACGTGAAAATTCATGAGTCCCAGAAAAGTGATATTCCACATGCTAATATTCTATTAAGGTTGTGTTGCAAGGAATTGTATTATTCATTCTCAAATTCCTCTTTGGACTGTCTGGATATACGAGCTTATTTACGTGAATACGGTACTTATGTGTCCCAGAGAACTGATATTCCACATATAAAGCCGCCATTAAGCCTTGTATTTCCAGGTGTCGGTAAGAACTCGACCCTGAGGTCACGGGAGAGCAAACTACACGTCGACGTCGCCTCACCCGCCTGCGGCGATGGCGGCGTGGCTGCCGCGTCGCACGGCAGGATCGGTCTTGCGGTCGTGCTCTCTGCCGAGCCTCGCTATGACTGTGCCAGGTACGCTGTACTCGGAGAAATGAGCGAGACTTTGTCAAAATTACGATGCACTTTTTGCTCAACTCTGAGTCATCCGGACCCAGTATGGCCTTGCAAAAAGGCGTATATATCAGTCCTCTAGAAAGTGTCAGTATTTGAACAGTATGATCCATTAATTCATCTGAGTTTACACAGGGAATAAACCTTTGAAGTGTCTACATTTATGTTCGTTTTTCACTAACTTGAATAGAATAGATGTTGAATAGAAAAATGACTCGGGGTACCACAAGCGTGCATCCTGTTCTAGTACTGTGACTTAAGGATGTACTGAGATGAATAAACTGATTAAACTCCAAAGAAGAGATATAGGTAAAGATTATAGTTATAGGACTCTAATTGAAGCCAAATTGACTGTGCTCTCATTTCCTAAGTTTTAGTTACATCTTGAGTGATTGTTATTGAAATTCTTATAGTTATTTGAACCGTTCATGATTGTTGGTAGGTAGTATACCTAACTTACGAAAAGAACAGAAGTAAAATATGCATTAGTTAAGTCATTCGAAAACGGAAATTGCAATTGTTTCAGTAATTTGGATGAGGAATAGAAATAAACTATCAATTATTGATGTTACTTTAAATGGAAAAAATTCCTGAAATTTTGATAGTTTCATAACAAGCTACTGCTTTTTACCTTTATTTTTGCATCAAGATTCCTTTTTTTGTGCTGAGAAACTAACCGGTGTCGGGTGCAGCTAAGGCCTTTAATTCGTATTTCCTATCTAAATTTCCTGTGAAATTGTAGCTGATGTTAGGATCTGCGTGGGCGTCGCTGCTTCCACTTTTAGCTTATGTGCTCGAGGATTCATTTTTTCACTTCCGTAGTAAACAGAACAGCCGCATTTTACTGGAAAACGGCTGCCGCTGTTAATGTAATTTGCGCCTGTTGCTGATGACGGGCGTTAGTTCTCGCAGATACAATCTGGCCCTGAAGTGGTTGTGGGGCTAGGGTAGCACATGCCTGTTACTGAGTTGTAGTTTGTGCAGAGGCGCTGGTCTTGCAACGTTGTGCAGATCTAGGTTGAAACGTTAGGGGTATTGCAGTTTAGGGTCTTGCAACGTTGGGCCAATGTCAGGTACTGAAGTGTGATGTTTACAGAGAGCAGCTGGCCCTAGAGCGGTGGGTGGTGTTGCAGGCGCCGCTGTTGGAGGGCTGCATCAACAGACTGCAGGCCGCCCTCGATGTCGCCTATCACAGCTCCTCCAGCTTCGTGTCACGGGCCCATGCTGCTGTTGCTGCTTTCCAGAGGGTGAGACTTTTTCTATCGTCAAAGTTTTAATGTTTTTCAATAAGATTTTACCATTTAAGGCATTTGAACAACTTATAGGTGGATGTTGCAACCTTATCCGGACTCTTTCATAATTTCAAGATGTGACGGACGACCTGTATTATCAATCTGAACTATATTATAAATTAATTTATTTGATGGTAGGTTTTGGTGTATTGGCATACTTGGCGATATTGTATTTTTTTATGTATGACTTACCATCCATAATAATTTCTGTTCGTATCATTTCCACTGTATTCACTAGCCCTGGTTGCAGGAGCTGCTGGACTTGCTGTACGGTCCCAGAGTGACATCTGCACTGTGGCTGGAGATTCTCTCCACTCCCGCGGCTTCTCAGCCTCTTGCTAGCAGCAGCGACAGCGGCTTGTTGGTCCCTGCCGCAGACGCCCTGCCTCGCGACGGCGGCGCCGAGTTGGACGGGAAGGCTCGGCGTCAGGCCCTGAGTGCCGCGCTCGTTGGTTCCTTGCGTCTATTGCTTCAGGAACACGACACCAAGCAGACCAACTTGTGAGTCCGTGTTTTGCTTCAGTTAATGGCACTGATTATTATTTAGGCTGCATTCTAGTGGTATTAGTGGATGCCTTATCTGTGAAAAGAGTGGATGCCGTATAAATGGTTATTATTGATGCTGTATCTCTGGTAATAGTGGCTGTATTTTTTCCTCATGTGAACAGCTTCATGAGCCGCCTGCTCACGGCGGTGCTAACCTACCACCTGGGCTGGGTTACGAGCGTCGCCCTCAGAGAAGACGCCGCTGCTCACATTGCTTTACCAGGTATCATTCATCTTGATATTCTCTGTATGACATATGTAGCTTTAGTCTATTGATATTCCATGATGACATTTATGGCTTTAGTCTATTCATATGGTTTGATATACTGTAAGCGAAGATGTTTCACACTTCATTCAGCTTTTGTCTATTCAGTTATGATTTATTTTAGCGTCGTAATTGCTGCCACTGAGTATTGTTTTTGGTATATTAAAAATAAAATTGTATTTTTCTTGCAGTTACTACAGCAACGATGTCTGCTGCAGCAGATTACTGCAGTGATAGCAGCGCGCCTGGTCCAGGTTCCTCGCAGCCTTTTTTCTTCCATCAGCCCCAGGTGACATTAATGGAACTGCCATTCAAATAGCCAGATGTCAAATATTCAAATTTAAATACTGATTCGTTATTACAGCCTTGACAACACTCGACTGATTTGTAATGACATTGGATTTCAGTAACGCAATTCACTGCGTTGAGGTGCTTTTGACTCTTTCGTGCAGTGTGATTTTTTTAAAACTACATTCATTCTATTGAGATTTCAGAGTTAATTTATTGTAAAATGTTCCTCAATGAAATTATTTTTGTCTCAATGATCAACGTAATAAGTTGGCGAGGAACGTGCGCCTAAATTACGCTACATCAATGTAGCTTGCTGCCTTTAATGATGAATTACTCGAAGGCATTTTTTGTAACGTTTGTACCTTATTTGAACTCTTTAAGGAGAATGAGAGCGGGCTGCTGACACAGCTGCTGGAGCTGCAGGGCTGTTTGGGCCACCCTCCACAGTGCTGCCGAACGGTGCTGCTCGGGTCATCGCCGTCGCTGTTGCAGCACTGCCTCAGCCTCCTCTCCTACCTCGTCAGGTGTCAGCAGGTAACTCGGCAGCACTGCCTCTCCCTCCTCTCCTACCTCGTCAGGTGTCAGCAGGTTTCGGCAGCACTGCCTCACCCTCCTCTCCTACCTCGTCAGGTGTCAGCAGGTAACTCGGCAGCACTGCCTCACCCTCCTCTCCTACCTCGTCAGGTAATGTAGGTGAGTTAATGTGGTAGGTGACGCGAACAAACCCGCCAGTTTTCGACACGTCTTTTTCGTCAAGATCAATATTGAGCGTGCGTGGTTTCATGGTACATTATCTCGTAAACAAGGAGCTATCACTTAATACCTATTCGTTTTAGTTCCAGTGTCTGCTTCTATCATGAAATTGTATAATACGAAGTATGGTATGATTCGTGAACTGGATAAGAAAGCAATCCGTATATTTTCATAGAAAATAAATGAACTTATTTAATGACTATTTTTTTTTTAAATTCGGCGTTGTCTCGTCTTGTTCCCGCGTCAACGTTAACAGTGCCTAGATCGACATCCCCCTACTTCTGTTGCGCCTCCTATTGCTTCCCAGCCTGGTTATAGCGTTCGATATGCTCGGCCCTTGCACGTCAGTGATGAAGTTTCTCCCTAAACCTGTTTTAATTCTGTATTATATTTTACATGGAAATATTTTATCTGTGAAGCAATTGATCAGCATGCATCTGGCTTCCTGTTCCGTCCATTCTGCCTTATTTTTTTATTTTAAATACGAATGTTTTTATTCGTGTGCTATGTTTTCACAGGCCACTAATGTTTTGAATGCTTTTTCTCAGGTTGAAGAACGTGGGGTTTTGCCTGGCGAGTGCTTGAATTTGTTTCCCAAGGAAGAAGTTGTAGCTGAAATTCCTAACCCAAGAATATTCCGGAATACTGTCACCGAACCAAATATTTCAAGAGATAACAGCTCCTCCATTCTCACAGAACATACTCAGCCGTCCAAGTTAAAATCTAACGTAATAGCTGAGAGTTTCACCAGAAATTCATCTGAAGTGACCCTGCAGCGATCTTCTTCTAGTGGCAGTTGCAGAAGATCTTCAGATGACAGTAACTGTAAAGTATCGTCTAGTGAATGTAGTCCTGCAGTCTCAGGCCATACAAGCACCGCATTGTACCGCAAACGGTCCTCGATCCAAGGCATGACGGGCACTGCGCTGGAAACTCTTTCAGAGCTCGGGTCTCCAGATCTCAACTTCCGTAAGCATGAGGTCACTTCACAGCCCGAGTTTATGTTAACAGATCAGAAATGCCAGAGAGTTCACAATGAAAATTTATCTGTCAACGTGGCGGTATCACAACATTCCTTTTCGAACAGCGGTGACGAAGAGATGTCTAATGATCAGTGCAGATCCAGCTATACGGATACAGCGAAAACCGAGACGATTGTTTCCAAAGCAAGCATATCTTTGAAAAAGATTTATGACCAGAGTGAACGAGATAATGAAGCGTGTAATAGCAATTTGTTACCAACTGAAACACATGTTTCAAGTGTATCGGCTACAAAATCTATTCCAACGTCGAAAACATCCTTCAACTTAACTGATTTATCCAACTCGCTTTCTTCATTATCAGATAGCACTCTGAAGGAACAGAGCAGCTTGCTTGATAAAAGTGAATCGCGCAGGTCATCTCGCAGTTCTTTGACTGCTCCCATCTATCCTGATCTTTCTACTCTTGATTGTCACAGAGAGGTATTTGGACCTGCCGAGTTCCAGCCTGATGTGATCGCTGCTAAAGTTAGAAAATTGTGTCGAACTACCCCTGACAGGATAACGCATGAAGGGGAGTCCAGTCGGGTTTCCTCTTCTGGGTCTTCAGAAGTGATGCATAAGTTTACCCGTAAAGCCTCTTCAGATCGAGGTTTAAGTGATAAAATATCACAAGATGAAAGTGCGTGTACTGGCGTTTCACCACTGTCAGAGAACAACAGCGGTGTTGTAGATTCCACTCAGGGGTCTCTTATTAACACGGAGCAACAGAAAAGACCTGTACGGTCAGATGCAGACGACGTAAAGAAAGTAATTTTCGTCATCGGAGAGGACGACGATGACTTAGGAGGATCTTCACCGAAAACCACTGAAAATGCGCACACTTGCTCCCCACACCCGCGAGATTTTTTAGAAATGAGGGAGTCAAGGAACGTTGCTCGAGCGGTTTGTTTGGACGGATTAGCCCCAGAAACTTTCGGTGGTGTCAACAGAAGTGGTAGCGAACGCTGGCTTAAACGGGACCACATTCTTGGCCACAAACGCACCAGTAGCGATCCTACTGCCAAGAGACGTGGCACTGCCCCAAATGCCGCACCGATGGTCTCGTCTGTCGCAACAACTATTGTTCCCACGGTTGTTTCATCTACCACCAAAACTTGTGTGGTATTTGAAGGTAAATCTCCTATTCCCACTGAAACATATACGCTTGCCTCCAGCTATGCCCCTACTTCTGCCGCTGGTATTACACCTTCAGTTAAAAATTTGGTCACGACGAGAGCCTCCCCTACTAGAACAACTACTGCTATGGTCACTGTGGATTGTTCTGCTCGTAATATGGCAGCTAGCCTCACTAAAGACAGTGCGCCGTCTGATGAAACTTCTGACCAATCTAAGAAATCTTTAGCTCCAACAATACCGTCTGCGCATCCTGCTAATGTGGCGGTCGTCTCTCCAGTTGATGCAATAATATCTGCGACGCAGCTCAGACCTGCCGCAGATATTACAACGGCTGTGACTACGGGTCCAGTAGCTCAGGTGTCTTGCAGTGCTGGTTTTAATCGCGCTATTAGTGTACCGCCTGCTGGGTCCCCGGTTCCTGGAGCGTCTTCTACTAATTTTCTTCCCGCTTCCTCGGATGAGGTCATTTCGAATGCTATGAATTTCAAGGCAGGGATTTCAAAAGATGAAAATTTTCGGGAAGCTGTACGGCCGGGAACGGACGTAGATCCCACCACCCAGGTTGAAACTTACGATGTACCAGTGCGCGAGAAACCATCAAGAAAAATAGACACGACGAAGCGGCATGAGCCAAAAATCGCCTGCGTCTTCCTTCCAGAGCCTTCGTAAGTATGTGAGGGAGAATTCATCAATTGAGGTGAATCCAACAATCCTTTGCAAGTAAATGAATCAGAATCATGGATTACAAATTTCTGTTAATCCTTGCGTGAGTACGTGATACATCTGATTGAGTACGTGATAGAATGAGAACCGTGATATATTTCGACATTATGTTTGAATTTAGCTTCGATTTAGGAAGCGCTATAGGGACATGTTCATTTTGGCGCTAATGACAATTAGGATCAATTCACTCTAGTCTCCATTTTTTTCAAAGGTTTGTGCCTTGAGCTGTTATCTGATTTCTACTTTTCTTTTAATTATCAGTTCTCATCCTCATTTTCATAGGTATTTTTGTGTGTAACGCTAATTTCACGGTGAACATAATAGCTGACTCGTGGTTAATTATTTATTTGAAAGGGATATTCTTCATGAATAAATCAACAAGAAGTGAAAAGTTTAATATAAATAATTTTATGAATAGTAGAAGAATCTTAATTTCATCAAAAAATTAGGATTGTAACTCTTCTCGCCACCGATGCATAGTTAACTTAATAGTGGGGGCCGTTATTGACTGTCTATTACGTTGCTGAGAAAATTTGGCCGTTAAGCTTGTTAAGCTAGGTATCGTATAGTACCTTCTAGGTGGGTTTTCGGTGTTACTTGCCGCCACAGGAGGCAATCATCTCTGAAATCTTTATTAATCTCTGAATCAGACCTGGATTCATGTTGCGGTTTTATAGAGAGTAGCAAATTACCTGGTAGACAGACTATTTTCTTTAAGAAGTGTTTCGTTGTCTTGTTTCGCATCAACGTTAATACGCGCTCATTGTTGTTTTAGTTCACCGTCTTAACGACTTGTCTTCCATTTTAGCTTCATTATATTAATTTTATTCCATATGCTACTCTATTAAGATTGACTCTTTCAATTAAACTGAGATAAATGCATTCAATTTACTTTACCCGGCAGAGTTGACGTTTGTTCGCCACGATCAGTGCTCGGGGTTGCCGAGGGAGTGATCGGTGGCGTTCTGGACCGTTACTCGCCCGTATACGTGCTACAGGCCGTCATCAACACCGACTCTGAACACTTCAACTCGCGATCAGGCTTCGGCAACAGGTTACAATCCGTTCTCGTGGTCATTTTCTTTGATAGATTCTGTTTAGAACTAACGACTAACCGGTATGATAGATTCTGTTTAGAACTAACGATTAAATAACGATTAACCAGTAAATTACAAGTATTCATTTGTGTAATCCTCCAACCGGTCCAATTATAAGTTGAATTATGTAGATGTAATATATAACAATCATATGCTAATGTCTATTGCTATTGTGTTGTGACATTTGTAAACCGTGCTACCATCAAGATTATTTACAGTGGATCGGCGTCGAGATTTGGCTCGGAATCTTCGGCGCGGTCAATCACAACGTATCAACCCTCCTCTGACCGCAGTGCTTACAGCCTTCAGAGCGGTCGTCCGTCATCGCTATCGTCTGCTTTGGAATGTGAAACTAAATCTACTGTTCAGGGCACCCTGGCTTTCGCTTCATCGCTGTTTGGCACCAGCCCCACGAGACTTTTCGGAGGTTCGTCTACCAAGACGAATGCTCCTTCACTGGGCAGAACTGAGCCGTCCAATCGTGCTGGCTTGTCATCTGCCGATAAAAATGCTCGTTGTGAAACTTCCAAATCTGTCGTTTTGAAAGCCTTGCGCCTGAACCTTGCAGTAGATGCTAGATTCTCACAATTTAAAGTAAGCCATAATGCCATTCTAGCTGATTTCGATGACTGGAGCGTGAATATAGTGACTAGTGACAGTGATGGAATAGTCGTAGGTATGTCGCCTCTCATTGCGAGTATCACGGACTCTTTACTTCAGCTCGTGCTGCTTGGTGCTGATCCTGACACTGTATTGCAGTGTCTGGATGATAAACTCTCGGAAGTGTACAGGCAATCACTGGTTCTCGCCAATTACTTACTGGGTGGAACTACCGTACTAAGCGAAAGTCGTGACCGTGAGGGCAACGTTACTCTGAATGCTCGCACGAAGGTGGGGATAAACCCAAGTCGATTAGCTGATTTGCCGTCCGCTTTAGGACTGGATCTGAATGATCTGCCGCTTCTGCTGGCTACGGCTTCATCTCATTCGCCTCACTTAGCTACTATGTATGGGCTCGCTATACGTTGAACTTTAGCTATTATATAGCTTTGACTAACCTTTCGTATGCACCTATCTTAATGCTCATCGAGTTTTATTTTTCAAGAACGGATTAACGCCTTATAATTATCTTGCATGATCAGCCGTGCTGTGATATTAAAATAGTGTTGTTTTCCTGTTTGACATTTTACTTTTGACTGTGATACTTTTCAGCAATCACCTTTATAGTCTGAGTATATTTATCCTTTTCTGCGACGTTATTTCGTCGACGCTTGTCCATACCTACTTACTTCTCGAAAATAATGAAATGAATAAATAATGGTGCAATGTATGGAAAGCTCAGTAGTCTTTGAAAAATATAACTCAGTACTCACTGCAGTGAGTGACAGAGCGCGCATTTTCTCGTCGACGTAAACGTGAAGTCACGGACAGACAGACAGACGGACGGACAGACGGACATGGCGAGCACAATACCTAGTGCATTTTTTTCATAAATGAGAAAATGCGCTAAAAACAGTGTGAAAGTGCCAAGTAACACAGAGTGGTTGAATAGCAACGCTCATGTTGGCTCTGCATCTGAATTATGCCAGCCTCAGCTTGTGTGGCAGATTGCTGCGTACTATAGCTCCGATGGCTGCTACTCTTATTACCTGCTGGGACGTTTGCGTTCAATAATCTTTTCTACCAGGTGGGCTGTGCCGTAATGCTTGGTGCCTTAAATGCATTTATTTGCTGTACTCTGCACATGATATGAACACAATATTGTTATTGAATGTTTGGAGCGGTTTGCGTCTAATCATTTGATGTCGTTGTTCAGCCTTGGAACATTCACTAATGCATCAACGCCGTGTTCATACTATACTGTCGGGCCCGTGCCAGGCATATGCCAGTAACGGTCCAGTCTCTTATTTTCTTGATAGATTTCTGTGGAAGCATTCACTTCAGTCGCGCAAGGCTACTGCCATGCCTGTGGTGTGAATGCTTCTATGGAAATGAATTAAATAATATTGTATCGTGACTGGCATATGTCTGGCACTTGCCAGGCTGTATGGCGTGAACCCTGCCTTACAGAGTAGTCCATTTATATGCTGAAAATTTCACCTGTCCTGTAAATTTACGACTTGTTTCGTCAGAGAAACTCAAGATTCAATATTGAAGCTTCCAATCATTGTGCTACCGGGTTGTCGATGCGTTCCAGAAAGCTATAATATACATTGTTTGCTTTCATTTACCATTGTCCGTAAGATGAAAATAGATTAATAACCGCTGTAGGCAAAACGAATAGAAAATTGTGTTTTTGTATTTCATTCATTGAGCCTCTAATTCGGTTATAGTATATATAGTACGGTATTGATTATTGGTGTGAGCGCTGGTTTTCATCATGTGCTCCGGACAGCTTGAAATGTGATTTTCGAGTGGGTTCAACTGCCATCAAAGTCTGTGCAATTGTCAATAGAGAGACTTGCTTCTACATATGAAAAATCATGTAATATAAGTAAGTATAGTTTCGTGTCAAGAGTTTAAGGCTCGTGATTATAAGATATTGCTTCCTCTGTCCTGTGTCTTACGCATTCTGTGATTCTCCGGTGACCTTTCAAGTCATGCTTGAAAATTCTACCGCAAATTTACGATTTCTTGATGTTTATATTTTGTGTTTTGGAGTATACTTTTTTAATATAACCAAGGAATTACGTGTGTTTTTCTTCTCACTGTGGTCGTAAATACCACGATCTGAATAACTACACTCAAACACCGCCAAACAGCCTTATGTTCCGGAATATTTTCATTGAAAATATATCGTTTAATTACGTAAATAGTATTAGCAAATGAATTGTGAGATTAGGCTTTGATTGTCGAGTTAGTTTCCGAGATCCATCTTCTATTTCGATGATAGGTCATTTGATTGCTGGCTGATTTGAAGGCACTTTGATCAACATATCTTCGTTTCGTTGTTGATAAAATTCTTAAATATGTACGACTGTCAACTTTGAATGCAGTCGTTTCAGTTATTAAAGTACAATGATTACCGGTTATTCTAGTATTAAGAATAACAGGAAGTCGGAATAAAGCTACAGATTTTTTTCAAGGGTACGAAAATTTCGTTGTATAGGGAATTGATCAGGTTGCGAATTAGGTACAACTGTATTTTTTGACCGTAAAAGAAGATAGATTTCCGTAGAATTCATAATAACTAGCTCATGACAGCCTCACACATACTAAAATTTAGATAGTAATAGACTTGCTATACAAGTCTTCTAACAGTTTCTTGAACAATGTGAATCAAATTTTGTTTCAATTATTACTTGCAGTATAATACCAATTGTAATATTGTTTTACAAAGATTTATTATACATATTATTTATTATAATAATTGTAATGTAATATCATGCAATTATTATAATATAATTTTATTATATTATTTTACACCTACTTCATAAGAATTTTGAATTAGTTCTGAGCAATAAAAAATTGAAATTTAAGAACCTGTATTAAGGGTCCATCGACCATTATTCGGAATTCTAATGACGTGTCTTATTTCTTTGATAATCCGATGAGATTCGTAAGTTACCATGGAGCAGCCTTGTGACGTACAGAATTTTTGCTTGAAAGTTTATTCAGACTTCGATGCTAATTCATAGCGAAATTTGAAGCAGAAACTCGACCGCGTGTAGTCGGAAAAATGCGGGTGATAATTTTGCATGTCTCTTCCTCAGCGAGTACATCGAAGTACGCAAAACTTTTAGCGCAAACTTTGTCATGACTGTGATTAGGAATGAGACGGAATGGATCGCATCAGGGCACGGCAACAGTCTTTGCAAATTCTGACACAAGAACAATTATATTCGTCTGCAGTGAGTGTTAGTACACCTTGGTGAGAGCGTAACACTTTTGCTCTCTTCGTTAAAAAATTGAGCCGTTCTTAATAAAGATAATTCATAATATTCTCTGAACATGTAATAGTAAATACATACATATATCTAGCAGCCGAGCGTAATAAGTTATGATCCATTGAATTAAATTGTTTATTTCCAATAAAATCTAAATTATATCGAAGTACTGAAAGAAGCATGAGAACTCTTTAAACAGTTGAAGTTTAAGGTCTTACATTCACTAATTACTCATGCCTGCGGATAAATAGTAAATGAATACAAGGTATAGCTAAAAATTTCACAGCAAAAGCTAAGCCAGAGAGGCTGTCAGATACAAAATATAAACTGACATCAGGTAGATTTGCGCGGGTTATTATCTACTTGCTAGTTTATAACCAATAACTAGGACGAAATTCACTACTAATTGTATAATTAGGCGACGAGTTAAGGATAGTCCTAGGGCGTGCCTTATGTGATTCATATTTCCACCCCACCTATGATAGTCATAACTGTAGTCGAAGTGGGGCTCACATTTACGGTAGTAGTTGTGTCATTCATATTCATGATCATAAAATAAACTATTCGGGACAAAATGCAAGGTATATAAGGTTTATAAAACAGCCATAAAAGATACGGAATTAGAAATTATTAACCCATTTAAAATATTCCAGATAATAATACATGCTTGTTAAGTAAAATCGTCATGGCATTCAAAATGATAGAACTTCTTTTTTATTTGGAAATGGTGGATGAAATACACCATAAACAATTAATATGATGTTTCAGAACAGTCGATCTTTGACATAATGAATACGATCAAGGAAGATCAAGGAATGTTTTATATTCTTTCTTTACAGGTGTCAGGAACTGATACCTGTTATCACAACTGATTTATTTATCTAAAGGCACATGCCGATGGGCTTACTTATGTTCTCTATTAGTTATTCTCTGCTTGCTAATTGAGCCATAAATTTGTATAATTTTGAATTGGAGAGCTTGTGAAAAATTAGGAAGTGAAAATTTTGCATCAGGAATAATGGTTGATTGGAATTTTGCAAGCCCAAATCATCGCTGTCGAAAGTTCTATTCGTATGTTCGAGCGAGCTGCACCCATGCCGCTTGCAATTTAAATTTATTTCAAAGCACTAGGTTCCGTAATAAAATAAAAGTAATTCTTTAGCATTGAGCAAAAACCATTTTAAAGCTGTTAAGTGCAAGTACCTAAAAACATTTCAGTTTCTGAGTTGATTTCTTTGATTTGGAGGAGGATAGAATGGCAGATTTTTTCCGCGGCTCGGCATAAAAACTCAATTATTGTCTTATTTTATTAGATTATTTATTTAATATATTATATGTATAATATAAGAAATATTTTTGCCAATTTATTATATTGAATAGGTTCGATCAACGCTTTTGTCAAATAAAATCAGTCATTTCATTTGATACTTTCGATCAAAATATCTGAATGAGGATGACACTTAGCAGAGCCCTTTTGAAGCATTGTACGTACGATATGTCAGCACCCGTTGCGTGTTCATTGAGGTTCGATCCAATGTTCGACGTCACTTGAAAAGAATGACAAGTTCCGGAACTTTATCAATAACTAGCAAATTTATTAATAATAGTATTGCATCACTCATGTTCCACAGAATAAAACAATTTTTTGGACCGAAATTTCTCTATACTTGACCGAAAATGCATCCAGGAGCGTTTCTTCAGGCCGCTGTGATGTTCTTCGCAGTGTTTTATTTCCACCAACAAGTTGCTGCTACGCTGGACCGATTCAAAAAGGTATATTATTACTTATTAGGAAATAATCCCTACATTTTCATGCATATTCTATTGCACCCTACAATATTTGTTCTCCTGACTTTTCTTTGACTCATTCCGCTCTGAAAAATGATTTTTTATATTCTGCAAACCAAAAGATAGAATAAGTCTCATGTTACTATCTTTAACAAAAAGTATTCCTAGGTCTCGACACGATAATTAGCGTGCATACGCGCCAACACAGACCTTTATATTTTCACTGAGAGCCTTAAACAAACCAAGTTAAAAACAAAAAAAAAAAAACACAAGAATTTCAAAAACGTGTTATAGCTAAATTACTTTAATCAAAATCTCTGCATGATTTGATTGATTTGAATAATTTTTATCTTTGCTTCGTCAGTTGTTTTGGTGTTTTGAATATGGTATTACTCTTTGCATTCGTAATTCTTCTGCATTTCTATTGCATTAAATCATCATTGAGCATAATCGGATCAGGACGTTCAATAAGGCGCATTTCAACACCGCAACTAGAATTAAAATCGAAAGAAGGCACCAGTACATTTATAATTGAACGGAGGATAAGCATCCCTGACAAATCTTGTTACAAACATAATTATTAAACATCAAAATGAACATTATACATATTGTAATTAGATGTCGGACTTGAAATTTATCCGTTTCGAACATCAGTCTTCATTCTTTATCATAAAATAGAATCAAATGTTTCGAAATTAAATCTGTCTAATCCCTGATCGAATT